TGGAGCAGCAATTAACCCTGCCACTCTCAAGGCAAAAGTAAAGACTCACTGTTGCTGGGGAAGGGTCAAACAAAGTCAGGTCCTCTATGCCTGGAGAAGGGCAGGATGCTGTCTGACATTAGGAAGTGTGCGCCGTGGCTGGGAGGCTTATAGTTGTTTAGTCTGTTTGTCTTGCTATAAGGGAATCCCCAAGGTTGGATAATTTATGAGGAAAAGAGGTTTATTTGGCTCATGATTCTGCAGGCTGTACAAAAAGCATGGTGCCAGCAGCTGATGCTGATAAGAGCTTCAGGCTGCTTCTACTCACGGCAGAAGGGAAAGATTAGCTGGTGTGTAGAGATCACATGGCGGAAAAGAGGAGGAGAGAGAGGGGAGGGCTCCTTTTAACGATCAGTTCTCCTGGGAACTAATAGAGGGAGAACTGTATTCCTTACCACAGGGCCTGCACTAAGCCCCTCATGAGTGTCCACCCCTATGATCCAAACGCCTCTATCCATCCCCACCTCCAACACTGGGCATCAAGTGTCAGTACGAGATTTGGAGGGAACTAACCAACTTTGTGTAAACCATAGCAGTTAATCCCTGCCCCCATCTCAAATCTCATGTTCTTCTCACATTGCAAAATATAATAATTTCATTCTAGGAGTTCTCAAATGTTCTAGCTTGTGTCAGAACCAACTCAAAAGCCAACAGTCCCATCTGAGATTCAAGGAAAATTCTTTCCCAGCTATCAGAATGAGGAAGCAAAAACAAGTTATTTCTCCGTCTCATATACAATGGCTGTACAGGCACCAGGTAAACAAGTGAAGAACACTTTGTGATATCTTAACTACCCCCAGAGACAAGGCTGAGGGAGGCTGGCTTTCACAGAGGTGGGAAACAGGGATGCCAAGAAGCACCACTCTGAGCACATAGGACCTGCCTCCCCAGGACAAGAGAAACTGCACCCCGCTTTCATATCAGCAGCCCGGAAAACACCGAGTAATAAGCTTCCCTTCCAGATATTCAGTTGAGATCCTTTCCACCTACAAGTCTTCAAAACATAGTAGATTCAGGGACACTGTTTCCTGACTTTCAAAATTTACAACTCTTTCTCCCCAACGTAGGAGGGAAACATTTTTGAACACGGTGAAATAAGCCTGGTTTTATCTTTTAACTTATACCTAAATTACTGGCTCCCACGAGAGTAATACTTTTCTTACACTTCAATGTCATCTCCTGAGAATTTGCAGGAGATTTGCTTTAACTTCCCTTGTCTGTTACCAAGGCATGTGTTAGTGTTTGACTGTTTGAGCATATGTTTATCTTTTATTTTTAGAGGCCATGTGTCACTATGTTGCCCAGGCTGGTCTTATACTCCTGGGGCTTTTGGGAACCTTCTGCTTCAGTGGCAGAGACTACAGGCATGGGCCAGCATGCCCAGCTTGGCTATATTTTGATAATTTTTTACCACATATATTGATTATTTGGGTAGCAGAAACTGTGATGGAGACAAGCTTCATCTTACACTGTGACGTAGGTATGCGCGTGTACACACTCGCTTTGCCTCACACCCTAACATAATATGTGCATTTATGCACTGGCTTCCTCTCACACCCTGTCCAGGTATGCACATGTAC